GGTCAGGGAGAAAATAGTTGTACAATCTCTGAAGACTTTCCGGTCATGGATGATGATAAGCCCTGGATATTATTAGGCACACCTTGGCTTGATCGTGCTGGATGGGAACCTATTATAAAGCGTGAATTCAAGTTAATGCATAAAGATAAGGTAATTACTATACCTCTTTCAGTACATAAGTCCCCCTTTCACAAACAAGTTGTGAAAGAAAATTTGGTTAACACAACAATTCTGCCTTCAAGTGATTTATCACGAGAAGGCGGGGAAAAAAAAAACCTATGAGTTATGATGAGCTTGAAAAAATGTTATTTATTACTCTCAATACTAAAGAAATTCTTTCCGATAAATGTGAGAAGATTTTATCATTCTATGAGGAGTTGGATCAACTATTCACCTAGTATAGATTTAAGTTTAGCTATATTTTTTTTATCTCGAATAGCTTCTTTTTCGTAATATGCAATTAAATCTTCTTGGCTAATATTCAAGTCTTCTCGTAATAAATCACTCGAAGACGGAATTGATTTGTTATCTAATTTTTTTTCTGAATTTTTAGAATCTATTGGTGGATGGACCCCTCTCCAAATTTGATATACTCGTCTTGTAGAAATTTTGTATTTATTAGCCATAGCTTCCGGTGCCCGCTTCATTGAATTTTTGGCTTTAATAATATCCTGAATATTTTCTGTAGATAGGGGGGTGGCATCTGAACGTAAATATCGAAGCATTTTTATAGAAAACAAAAAAAAATTTATCGAAAAATTATCGGTATATTATCGATATATTATTGATAAATTATCGATATATATATTATCGATAAATTTTCGGTATATTATTGATATATTATCGAAAAATTATCGATATATTTTCGATATATTTTCGAAAAAAAAAATAGTTATCTTTTTTTAATGTATACGAGAAAATGTGAGCTTAAAGAAAAACTATATTTTGCTCTTAGATCTAAGGCCGAAATTAATGATCTTAGCGAGAAGTTGCTAACTAAGTATTTAGAGCAAGAGAAAGAGCTTCAGCGTTTTCTCACGATTTCATCGCTCGAAGACAAATATATCAGTAAACCGAATATGAGAAAAAAGCGTGTAAGGCTTTGTGAGGAGGCAGATGGTATTTATTATTTTCGAATGAAATAAGAAAAAAAAAAAAAGGGTTCCAAATCTTTGCCAGATCTCATTGGTTTAGCTGTGACATTAATGTCACAGCTATGTTGTACGAGGCACAGTATATGGCACAGTATTATTATATTAGAAAAAAAATATATTAATTATATAACTCGATGACTTGTCTACTTATCTAACTTATGCGGGTGAGTTAGGTATGTGAGATACACATTCGTTTTGATATTTTTCTGGGAGCTTGGCTATGATAGCTCTTTTTTCGGCCTCTTCATGGGGCATACCAGCCTTGACCATATTCTTATAAGCTTTATTACGCCAATGGAA